CTCCTGTGATATAGTGATTTTTAAAATCAACAGTGTGTTTTTAGGATTTGCATGTAAGCATTGCCTGGATGGATGCCAGGCTTCTTTTGCTGCAGGAATCAAGACAGCTCTGGCTAGTTTAAGAAAGCTTTCTTTCTGAGCTTTTAAACCCTCTGCAAAAAAATAGTCATTAGTGTGGGGACCAATTATGATCTTGGTCAAATAAGGGTGTATAAGGAGATGGATGGACAAGAGAAGGAAAAAAGGAATTTCTGGCATAATCTTTTTTTGGTTTTCGGTCCAAAGCAGGTCTGGGATTTTCTTCCCCAGAGAAGCAGAAGTCTGCGCAGCCAAAGCAGCAACGTGCTGAGGGCAGAGCTGGTTTTTGCTGCAACTGGAGCTCACCTCCCTCTGGAGCACCTTGTGGGCTGGGCAGGGACTGGGATGTGGTGCAGAGGGGGCACCTCAGCAGCTGGTCAGGAGGAGGGGGCAGGACTTCCCACAGTTCTTCAGCTGCTAGCGCAAACTCCTTCTTGAAGTATTGCCATTTCAGCAAAGGCAGCACACATTAAAAAATAATATAGCATCTCCTAGCACCTTTTATGATAGCATGAAATGAGGAAGTGCCCATAGACTTGAAGGGACTGGCCTAAATTTTCTAATTTCAACCATGGAAAAAAACAGTTCTGTCAGTTTTTAAATCTGTGGCAGCACCTTGCTCACAGCTGCTGTTGATCTCTGTTTTAAGAGCTGTGAGTCCCCACAGTGGCACTGCAAGCCGGGAGGGGTTTTTCCCTTCTGTGGAACTTTCTTTGATGTGATTACATAGCCTGTTTTCTCTTTTGTGTTTCTTATAAAAAAATGTATATAGTTATATATGTATGTAAGCACTGCCTTTATCCCCAAGAGTCAGAGGGAAATAATATTTTCTGTGTGTTGTTTGCTTTTACACAGTTAGCAAAACAATGTTCACATCTCTCCTTTTAACTCTTCTAAAGAAGCTATTATAATGTCAAATAACATGCCACTGTGACTATGCCTAATTAGCATTACAAATTCAGTTGAAGAGATAAATGACCAGATACTTCATGGTGCAAGTCAGCCCAGCTCCAGGCGCTTGTGCTCACAAGATTTACAAGGATGGGTCAACAGACTGATGAAATGGAGGCCTGGAAAATGCTGCATTAATGAAATGCAAACTGTGTTTGAGCTGTTAAATGGACCTGCTCTCTCAGGTGTCTCATGCAATAGGAAAAACCTGTAAAAACTGCTCTGGTTGGGATACAAAAAGCAAATCAGTAGTTACAGTCTCTGCTGATGGGCTGGAGAAGACACACATCAGACTGTGTACAGCTTAATGTTCCATGAATGGATTGGTCCAGAGCCCACTGAAAGTCAGTGGAAAGATTGTCAGCATCTGATCCAAAGGCAGGAAATCAGAAATTAGGGATTCAAAGCCTGTTCTTTACCAAGTAAACAGTGAAGTCAGGTGGTCATGGCTGGTTTATAAAACAGTGGCTAGTGATGTCCAATAAAAAATGAAGCACTTACGGACATAGATGTTTCTGCTAGTAGCACTGTGTAAACACATCACTAGAAACAGATAGCAATTAGCATGATTCAAATAAGGTTGAATTGTCTGTTTATGTAGTTTGAAAAAAAACTGGTGCAGATCACTAGTCTTCAATGGCAGCTTAAACTCAACCTTAAAGACATTTAAACTGAATTTCTGTGTGATCTTTAATTGTCATTTTAACCGAAATAGTAAAACTCTGCTAATTTCAAAGGGAGGTAAAGAAGGAGTTTGCCTGAGAACTTTAATAAGGGTGGAGCAGATTTCAATACACAGATGGAATGTCATAAATCTCTCTTCCATTATTACCATGAAATTGTACATATCTAAATTATCATTTCAGTTTTCAGAAACCTTCTCTATGAAGTGTCAGCAATTACTGAGAAAGTCACTGTCTCAGCAATTACTACTGAATGGTTTAATAAATCATTTGTATAAGTTCTTAATTAAAAACCAGTAAGTGTTGACTTTGAAGAGAGACAAATCAACAAGAGATATGTAAAAGCATTAAGAACACTGTAATATCAAAGGCTCTCTACTGAAATGTGGCCTCTGTGTGTTTTTCTTCAACTGCAACTGAGATACAAATGGCAAAAAACCTTTCAAAACATAATTAGGAAGGTGTTAAATCCAAACATCTCCAAAGAAGCATTCCATTCCCTCAGTCCCAGTACAAAGAAAACATTAATTACTCTTCCTTCCCAACACCTACAGGGGTGTTCTCATGGTGTGCAGAGACAATTAGCTGAAACCTAAGCAAAAGTAATGCCTAGTGACTAAATTTTCTGTACTCTATAGTATCAGAAAAATTCTGAAACAGGTTGGCAGTCCAATACTCCCAGTAGAGAAAAGAGACTCTGCTGCTTTTCAAGGGCTGAATGTTTTTCTTTCAAGCATCTTAGCAGGGAATTTAGTAGCTAATAAATCACAGTGATGATAAGTACTTGTGTCAGTGCATCGGTGGGCTCCTGAAGGGAATGGCTGAAGCACAGATGGTCTCACTCTGAGGAGCACTTCTACCCGCAGGCTCAGTCCAAGCCAGGTTATCCCAAATAACACCCCTTCCACATTCCGGAAGGAGTGTGTCAGCATGGGAATGGGCGCTTGGACCATGCTGCCACATCCAGGTGTGCTGTACCTAGGACAGGGAGCACAGTGTAGGAGCTCCTGAGGACTAATGCTGTGGATGTGGTTCTGTACGCAGGAGAGTCCAGCCCTGGACCTGAGAACTCACAATCAGGTGGAAATTGCCTTCACCTGCTCAGCCTTTTTGCTGAGTAAAATTGCATCCATTTTTCTGGCCCTGAGGCAGAGTTCCGCCTTCTCTGTGTGTGCTTGAGGGGCCTGATAATCTCATAACCTCAGAATAAAACTTCGTTGTGATGCGGTTTGCAGAGACTAGTTTATTCAAACCAGCTTCCCAAACCCACTATGTGCAGTGCTTTATTTCCCTCCTGAACTTATAATGTGTTTTAATTAGTAGGCAATTTTTTCCAGCTCAGAACTCAGAAATTCTGCACAGGTTAGTTCCTTGAGCACTGAATAACTTGTCCTTTATCAAAGAGTCATCCCTCTTGTGTCTTGCTGGCAGCACATGACTTGCATCGATTGTGGACAGTGATCTGTTTAATTAGCTTGCTCTTGCATCTTGGTACAAAAAAAAAAAAAAAAAAAAAAAGGCCACAGGTACCAAACCCAAGAGATAACAGAAAGAACTGAGAACATCTTCAATTACAGCATTCTTTTTATCAATCTTTGAATTTAAACTATCTGGAAAACAGATGATGAGTTCATGTAAATTAACATGCAAATTAACACAAGGGCTTGCTTATAACCAGTACATAGCTCTTCAGGGTTTGGGGTTTTTTGGGGGTTTTTTTGGTTGTGTTTTTTTTTATTTTTGTGGTTTTTTTTTTTTTTTTTGGTCATTTCATCCCTTGCATTTGTGTCAGAGAGCCCAGTTAGTTTTATTTATTTCATAAAACTAGGGCAAATTGATTCATTATTGTATTATTCTGAATTAATTATTGTATTATTCTGAATTCAGAATGACATCTCTAAGATCCATACAAACTGGAGCCTGTTATTATTAGTAAAGTACTTTTAAAACAAAAATGACATTTTTTATTGACTTTGAAAAGGTTTGGTCCCTCACATAATACACATTAGCTACTGAGGATTTAAGAGAAGGATGAACAAACCTAAAGTGTTTAGTAACATAATAGATAAAAAGATAAAATCCAGGCACCTTTGTAGAGTAATATACAATTTGAGTGGACACAAATACAGACAAATGCTGACATAAAGTCATAATTAATCTCTCACAGACCAAAAGATACACTGGAACAGACATAACATTTTTTTGGACAGTCTCATGGCTGGAATTGAATGCCAGTGTAAAGTGATACAACTTCTTTAGGAAAGCTACAGGGAAGACTGTCAATCTCAGCTAACAGCAAAAGTTGGAGTAATATATAATATGCTAGCTGAAAGCCTGGTTGAAGCCTTTTTTTAGGGCAGAGAATTATTTCATAGCAAATGCCAGAATTTGCTTATATTCTTTAACTTTTTTCCTTTCTTATTAAAACTGGAAATAAAAAATTATTTTTAAGACCAGGGAAAGGAGAGAAATGAGAGTAAGGGAAAAAAATGATCAAATAGTAGGAACTATTCACCTTAAGAGTACAGAAGAGTTAGCCTCAAATCATTCCTCCTTTTCTGGGAAAGATAAAGCCACAGGCAATGGTGTTGGGAAACATAATGGGTTACATTCTGTAATAGCATCCATGACATGGAAAAAATGAGTATGGAATGCTTATTTATCAAATCTTTTCCAGCTCAGAAATCACAGTCTCCATATCTTAGCCTCTTGTGCATTGACTAACTTGTCCTGTTCTATTGGCAGTACATGATGTGCCTTGATGGTAGACTGTAATCCATTTTATAAGGTTACTCATATGTCTGTAAAAACACCCCCAACTACACACACACACAAAAAGAGCTATAATGAAAAGAACTGAGGGTTTTCTTTATTTTTTCTTATTGTTTATGAATGAACTTTTCAGCATCCATTTGTAAATTGGTCTGTAAATGGGCTGAACTTGAGCCAGAAGTTCTTTCAAGGAAATAACTTCTCATATCCCTGTTAGGGGTGCAGGGAAATCTTTGCTTGAGAATGCTTCGAAATCCAAAAGCACAAGTAGATAGAAAGAAAAACATATTCTCAGAAACAGAGTAATTAATGACTGCTGCAGTTGAGTCAAACTAGCACAGAAAGCCCATGAATCACAGTCCATTTTAGCTAGGTGGGTGTAAATTTTCCTGTTGCTCACACAGTTCTGTTGATTGGCAGGTGGTTCCTTGAACTAAAGGAGTGTATAAAAGTTAATTAGACTCATTAGCTTTTTTGCAGTATATTTCTGATCGTCTTTCGTTTTTTTAACCACAGAACCCCCTTCACCTGCAGATGAGCTTAGAAAACACACTGAGTTCTGATGCTGATGTCACTTTCTCGATTCTCGCGATGAACAACTGGTACAATTTCAGCCTGATGCTGTGCCAGGAGGAGTGGAACATCACGGATTTTCTCTTCCTCACACAACAGAGCTCCAAGTTCCACCTGGGATCCATTATAAACATCACAGCAAACTTCACTTCAACTACTGACCTTCTGAACTACTTGCAGTTTTACCTGGAGAGCATCAAAGACACAACGTCAACCATGGTGATGTTTGGGTGTGACATGGAGAAAACGCGGAGGATTTTTGAGATAACCACGCAGTTTGGTGTGATGCCTCCAGAGCTGCACTGGATTATTGGGGATTCACAGAATGTGGAAGAGCTGAGGACAGAAGGTTTGCCCCTCGGTCTCATCGCTCACGGCAAGACAACTCAGTCGGTCTTCGAGCATTACGTGCAGGATGCCATGGAGCTGGTAGCCAGGGCTGTGGCAGCAGCCACCATGATCCAGCCTGAACTGGCTCTCATTCCAAGTACAATGAACTGCATGGACACGGATGAAAGGAATATCACTTCAGGCCAGTATTTGTCAAAGTAAGTTTTACCTTTTCCCCTCACCCCAGGTAATATTTGCTGTATTGAGAGAAAAATATTTTTTTTCTCCCTCCCACTGTTCTCTGTGAGTTAATTATCATGCTGCTAACCCTCCCTCACAAACAAGTTTGTTTCAGTGTTTCCTCCTGCTTCTTTACTTCTGGGCAGATTATGACATTTTGACTTTGCCACACTGGAAGAGAAGCTAGAACTTCAAGATTCTGGTGGAAGAAGAAGACACTGTTCCACAGAAGTAGAGATCACATAGTAAACATAGGCTAGGTTACAGACTGTGCTCTGAAACTTTATATTTATTCATGTAAGTGGGCTACTGTCAAACTCTCTGACATTTTGAGTGTAGAAAACAGGGTATTTGCACTGTCTAAACCCTTGGACAGTATAAAGATGTGTAGTAGCCCTTGATAGTATGTTTCCATGGAAAAGAGAGGAAAAAGATGCACCTTCATCTCTTCAGAGGGTTTCTTCTGGTGAGAGCACTCAAAAGTACAATGTACTGTTTCTGCTGCATGTCACTATAGAGAAGGTATTCCCAAAATGACTTCTGTGTTCCTGTTTAGAAATATTATTGTTTTTAACATATGAGTTGAAAACCTGCATGGTACTTTTTGAAAACAAACAAAAATGTCTTGGCTAACTACATTAATTCATCACTTAATCCACACCCAGCAACTATTTCATGTTTTCCACCCATTATATCTGGTGTTCAACCTTAAGATTTTGTTGGACAAAATCTTAGTTAGGATAAAAGTTTTTGAGGCTTTTTTTCAAAAACATTTTTTTTTTCTTGGATATGTCTGCACAGTAATGTATTAACAGCACTGCTCAAAACACAACCATTTGAGACCCTATCATTTCCTTAGTCCACTTGTCCATTAAGAGTCAAAAACTCCATTTCCAAAGAGTGGAAGAGGGCTTGGGAAATAAACACTGGACCGACTCACAATACCCCAGTGACTTGTGATGTTTATTTTGCCACGTCTTTCTGGATATTTTAACTGAAAAGTAAAAGTCAGCAGGAGCTTTCTTAAAGAAACAAGAGAACAGCAGTTTTATGAATAGGCTTTTTGAGGTTTGAAGAAGAGATTTAAAAAAAAGGAAAACAAAAGTAAAACAGTTAAATGTATTAATGAAAAATAATTCATCATTTTTGCTCTCTATAGAGAACCATTAGCTTTTGTTGTATTTTGGGAGACAATATGCAGTTTCACATCTATGAAACGTCTTTTCCCTTCATATTGGTAAGCATATCATGGAAGTAAAAGAAAGAATTTTATGCTTAGCCTTGTTTTTTTCCCTATGCAGTTGCCTGTGAACTCTATTAAAGAGAAAATAATAGGTTAGAGAAACCCTTGTCCTAGATCAGTGCAGCTGTTTCTGCAGTGTATGAGTGAGACAGGTACCTGATGGACAGAAGTGATGTATTTGCATCAGCAGTCTAACTATTAACTCTGAGCAGTGCCATTAATTTCTCAGGTGTGACATGCTGATGAGTGGCTTCACTGTGACCAACCTGGCCCATCTTCCCAGGGCTTTTAGGCATTTTTATCCTCCAAAGATGAAAATTTTGTCTGGTGCTTAACTGCTTTTTACTAATGAGTGCATTTTTCAGTCTGAATGAGCCCATCTGTCTTGGTGGGAAGCCTTGGAGCTGCTGTGCATGGGGAATGAGAAGGGGATGATGGAGAAGAAGCAGTGCTCAGACGTCCACCTCACCACTCTGCAAAGGGTGGATGGACAGCAGCCCCACTCTCTGGCACAGCAAGAGCTTCTTCTGCCAGCACTGATTTCACACCTTGGCTGTGCAGACATTTAAGTGCACCCAAGAGCAGAATTATGGGCTAGTGCATGGTAAAGCATGCTTGTATCTGTATGGATATGGGTATAGATGTACAACCCCCTGGAGATTTTACTGTTGTAAGTCACTGTCCATTATTCCTCTTATAATGAAATTGATTCCTTCATCAATTCTGCCTGTTCACGGGAGCATCCTTGTTGTTGGAACAAGGCATTAAAATTTCAAAGCCTCATCTTGTCTTATAGCTTTAATTAGTCTTACAGCTTTAACTCACCTTCTTGGGTAATTTCATCAGCCTGCTATTTCATAGATCCATAAAATCACAGGGTGGTTTGGGTTGGAAGGGACCTTAAACATCATCTGATTCCACCCCCTCGTATGGGTAGGGACACCTTCCACTATCCCAGGTTGCTCCCAGCCCTGTCCAACCTGGTCTTGAGCACTTACAGGGATGGGGCAGCCACAGCTTCTCTGGGCAACCAGTGCCAGGGCCTCCCCACCCTCACAGTATATACTTATTCCCAGTATCCCATCTAGCCCTCCCCTCTGGCAGTTTGAAGCCATTCCCTCTTGTCCTATCGGTAAGAAGTCTCTCCACCTCTGCTGGCATCCCTTTAAGGACTGCAAGGATACTAAAAGTTCTCCCCGGAACCTTCTCTTTTTCCCTGCCAATTCTAGTTCTTGCCTCCAGGAAGCTTCCCAAAAAGAGAGGTGGAATGACCCAACCATCAAGACTGAGAGAAAATAATTTCAGTAGGTCATTCTTAAATATACTACAAAGATACTGCTACTGGAGAGTGATAGTACTGCTAAAGGTCTAAGGAGCAGTTCTTGTAACAAAGCACAAGCGAAACAAAGCTGAAATGAACAAATGACACATTCTGGAGTTGTTTAAACTGAAGTGACTCACATAAAACTTTGATGCAGTTATCATATAGTTGTCAGTGTGAACATCAGCTCTCATATATTGACACAGCATCAAGAAAATTCATTCAGCTGTCAGACCTGAGGATCTGGCCCTTCACCTTCTGAAATTTGTGCAGGTTGTCTTTCCATACAAACCTGTCAGTAGACCTTCTGAAACAGCTGCTCAGATACTGCCAGAATGTCTGTGCAGTACCCAGCACTTGTAATTCCCAAAGATTCATGATGGAGATTTCTAGCTTAAGAAGTGTAGTCAGAGCCTCTTATCTGTTTCCTAAGTTTTCAAGTAAAGGAGTTTTCACTTGAAGTTGCTGGCATGAGTTTCACTGGTGCTGATCACAGTGCATGCAAATGCTCAGCAGCCTCAGCTGCTTGTGTATAAAACAGAGTGTTGTTAAAATTCTTCTCCAGCATGGCTCCCATCATTTATTTTGATTCATGCTCTGTCACTACAAAAAAATACAGAACATGCAAATCAGCTGCAAAGGTAAGCCACTAACTCAATGAGGTGATGAAGTTGTACATTCAAATGCTGCTAAATCTCTCCCAGGTACCCACTTCTAGCAGAACCACAGGACAGGTACAGAGGGCTCGTTCTGCCCTCCTGGGTGTGCTTGCTTTTACTGTACAAGTCAGCAAACAACGTGCAATAATTCCAGTGATCTCCTTCCACCTTCAGAAAATTAATGTAATGCATTGTTCCATGGCTTCAGTTACTCCCAAAGCGCCTGCTTTGCAGCATTCTCATGCTCAGGTCGTGCAGTATTAGCAACATGGGGCCAAAGTCATGAGAGCTTTGCAAGCTTATTCCACCTGAGGACGTCTCCCTCCATTTTTGGCATTCTTGTGGACATCTCCTAAAAAAAACTTTCATGCAGGTCCATCTACATACATGGAATGGTTTTACTTTTACTGTCACAGTGATGGCTTTGGCCTGTATGCCCAGCAAGGCTTGTAACTAAGTTGCATAATTTTTTACAGAGACTGAGGGTGATAAAAGTAAGAAAGAGATAAAATCCAAACAAGTTTATGGGCATGTAAACCTTACTTTAATGTTAAAAATTGCCTGCTCCCGTACCCTTTGTCTTGATAGTGTTTGCATACACAAACAGGGAAGTTACACCATTAGATAGAAAGCACGGATTAGGAGGGAAGGAGTGGGCAAACAGTGGCAGATACCACTGATTATTGGAGCTATGGTGTCCTTTAATACTGGACTAAATGGTAAATGATTTAAAACATAAAATTGTATTTATAGTTTATATACATTTATATTTATAAACACCTGTCTGCCTTTTTTAGGCATGATTTCCAGACCCAGGCTAGCTCATATACAGATCATCTTCTTTTGAAAGTATTGTCTGTGTCATCTTTCTCCAAACTCAACCTACTCAAAGGAGACTGAGCAAGAACTGTGAAGCTGCCTTAGAGAAGGCTATCACAGACACAACCATGCTCAAAACTAAATCATTTACTGTCATAAATTTACCTTTGAAAGGGGTAAAATTATATGACCTTGAGACTTAAACAGTGCAGATGTTTAACTGCTGAAACCCCATCAAAAATCGTCAAAAATCATCAAAACAAAGTGTAGAAACCAGACAGAAATATGGATGTATACACACTTGCAATTGATTTATCTTTTTCAAATCAATTTAAGGTTATTTTTTATCCTCTGTAACTATTGATAAACAGTTAGGTCTACCTAAAAGTTAATGTCTTCCTTATTGAGGCTGGAATGACAGCCTTTATACGTCTTCCAACTTTTACTTTCATCCAATTCTCAGGACTAATGTGAAGTGCTGTATTCTGCTACAACAGCTGAGTAGTTTGTCTTCTGAATGTCTCTTACTGAAAAAAAAAAATGCACATCTTGCCTTGCACCATATTAGCAGGAATTTAACTCAGTTGTTTTTAATGGAACCACTGTTATAAGGCTTGTGCAGCCCCTGCCAAATGCATAGCAGCTCTGTTCTTAGCAGCATGCAGTTCAGCAGGTCATGGTGTTCACACTGAAAAGGATTTTCTGCTTCAAACTCTTAATTCCTGCTGAATTCTCAGCTCCTTTATCCATGTTGTTTTTAACCTCTTTGATGATGGCTTGCCAGAAGCTGAATTTAACAGGCACAGAGGACAACTACTAGCAAACACTCCCTTTCAATACAAAAGAAATAGGCAACTTTATTGTCATATCTGGAATAGTAAAAGCCCGGAATTCTCAATGCAAAATTGCAGTGCAAAACTGGCACACTTCATGAGATCTTCTTCAATGGCAGCACTGCACTTTTAGGTACATTACTTTAGCAAATTTATTTTTAAAACTGCTTTTTTGGGTTTTTTTTTTTTTTTTGGGGTTTTTTTTTTTTTTGTAAGAATTAAAACTGACTGTCCTAGAGCAACCATCTTAACCATCTTTACTTTCTTCCCTTACTTTATTCTGAAGTGTCTAACAGTGATTTACGAATGCCAAATTTGCATTTTTGAATCCAGATTGGTTCACTTGAGAGTGCTTGAAAGCTGTTGACAGCATTTCAGTAGCCCCTCTTATGTAAGATAGATCTTACTGAGATTATAGCATTTTTCTTGGAAGGGCATTTCATACATAATTTCCACTCTTCCATTTTCATATATATTTTTATCTAGGAAAGTGACAGCAGATCTGGTGAGTTCAGTTTAGAACTAACCTGTATTTCATCAGTTTGTGAGGCAAAGGTAACTGAAAAAATGACTGTTCTTGTACTAATTTTTTCTAGTAAGTAAAAAAATACATCTTTCCCGGGGAGTTTTCATCTGCATTAGATATGTAGGGGAGCATCCTCATATAATTTAGTCATAAATTATGTGGCTGGTTCATTGAACCACAGGATCTATGTGCTATTAATGGTCCAGGTGTTCAGCAACATCCCTATCTACTCTCTTCAATATAAATTCATGGTCCAGATGTCTGCTTCTGATTCCCCTGCCTTCTCTCTCCAACAGGTTTTTAGCCAACACAACTTTTGATGGTCTCAGTGGCCACATTAAGGTGAAGGGCTCATCCATTGTGAGCTCAGAAAATAATTTCTTCATCTGGAATCTGCAGCACGACCCTGTTGGAAACCCAATGTGGACGCGCCTGGGGAGCTGGCAAGAAGGGAAGATCATCATGGACTATGGGATATGGCCAGAACAGGCACAGAGACATAAAAGTCACATGCAACACCCCACCCGGCTGCACCTGAGAGTCGTGACACTGATTGAGCATCCCTTTGTCTTCACAAGGGATGTAGATGATGAAGGTCTTTGCCCAGCAGGGCAGTTGTGCCTAGACCCACTGACCAATGATTCAGGTGTGCTGGACAGCCTGTTTGAAACCCTCCAAGGGGAAAATGACACTGTCCCCATTGAGCTGAAGAAGTGCTGCTATGGCTACTGCATTGACTTGCTGGAGAAGCTGGCTGAGGATATGAATTTTGATTTTGACTTGTACATTGTTGGGGATGGAAAATACGGTGCCTGGAAGAATGGTCACTGGACAGGGCTGGTGGGAGACCTTCTTGCTGGTACAGCTCACATGGCAGTGACATCATTCAGCATCAACACTGCCCGAAGCCAAGTGATTGATTTCACCAGCCCTTTCTTTTCAACCAGCTTGGGGATCTTAGTGAGGACCAAAGACACTGCAGCTCCAATTGGAGCCTTTATGTGGCCACTTCACTGGACTATGTGGCTGGGGATATTTGTTGCTCTTCACATCACAGCTGTATTCCTCACCTTGTATGAGTGGAAAAGTCCTTTTGGAATGACCCCTAAGGGAAGGAACAGGAACAAAGTGTTCTCCTTCTCCTCTGCCCTCAATGTCTGCTATGCGATCCTGTTTGGAAGAACAGCTGCCATCAAACCCCCAAAGTGCTGGACTGGAAGGTTTCTAATGAATCTCTGGGCTATTTTTTGCTTGTTTTGTCTGTCGACATACACAGCCAACCTAGCTGCTGTCATGGTGGGAGAGAAGATCTATGAAGAACTTTCTGGAATACATGACCCAAAGGTAAAGCATGTCTGTTGTTATTAACTCAGTCTTTTCTTCTCTCCACTCAAAATTCACTGCTGCATAATTTATGGTTTCTAACAAAATCAGAAAGTAATCTTTGTGGAAAACTGTGGTTGCAATTACTTACCACCTGGTGGCATTTCAGGAGGAAAGTTCAGTGAGATAGGACTTTTAAATACCCATAAGAGTGTAGCGGGAAGTATTTAAAAGATTGAAGGTGAGGAAAAAGGTGAAGTATTACGGTATTTTCCACTGCAGAGAAGAATAGTGGGTTCTATATGCAGATTAAGGATTTGAGCTCAGTTCCAAGTTCCCTTTGGTGGGACTTGTTCAAAAGAGTTGGATGATTCAGATCATCCTGAGATCTACTCAAACAAAACAACTACACAGAACAAGACAAAACCATTGATCCTCTTTTTCAAATATTTCACTGGTCATAATGCTGCTGGCAAAGGCAATGCTGGCAAAATTCCCCATGAATGCTAAATGAAACATAGCTGAACTGAAATATTTTGAAAAATGCTGCATTTTTCTTCAAAACAGTGGAATTCACTTTACAAGTAGTCAGGCGTTTGATTTGCAGTGTTGTTTCTGCTGGGGAGCCATCATGGGAGGAGATGAGCAGTGTTGTAGACAACCCATCTACAAAGAGCTCAGACTTCCCAGAACTTCCTCCACATGCTTTCTCCCCCTTCCCAAGGGGTCTTCAGCTGGAATTTAAGTCCAGTCCTTTTCTAAGACTGTTCTTAACTTATATGCCACTAACTAGCGATCAGGAAAGCAAGGGGCAGAACGGCTTTTAGAGAGAATAGATGGCTACAGGTGACACTAGAGCATCCTCTGCACTCGACAAATCAGTCCAGGGGACATGATGGCAAGCAGATTTCCCTTGCTCATATGGCATTTTCTGTAGTGAAGGTGTGATATTATTACCCACAGTTTTGTACTCGTGACCTAACTGCTGGTACAGAAACCATCCACCATGTGTCTGTCTCAAGGGACTGAACTGATAGATTGTGGTTCCTGTAAAAAAGTAACTTTAAAAGTAACTGTAAAAAAGTAACTTTAAAACCATGAGAACAGGGCATAAATCTTGCTTTTGTAAACTGTGTGAATAAATGGTACATATGTCCCTCCAGACAGCAAAAGCCAGGCTACATCTGTTGCATTAGTGAAACCTCACAGTCAGGCTGATGACCAGAGAGCTTTAACTTTGTGAGTGCAGTGCCTGGCTCACTCCCTGAAATGTTAATTAGATGGTTTCTACCAAAAACATTATAAAACAAAGAACAACAGTTTTGTGGCTGACCCAAAGCACTCTAAAATGTATTTATTGCTTAAAGCAAATTGCTCCTAATAATCTGCCATTCCTCTCCCAACAAAAAATATCATAAATATTGCATTAATGTCTTCATCAATATAAGGCACAAAAATACATTATATGTGATTTCCTCAAAGCATTCTTAAGAAGCAGATGAGAGCTTTCAGCTGAATTTCCCCAGCTCCAGGGATATCTCTGTTACTTTGTTGTCGTAAACCACAGTGGTGATTTGAAAATGAGTTTGGTCCTCTACTCTTTGCATGGGCGTCTCCTCATCCATAAAATCAAATTGCATCAGATTACATTCTATTTTTCGGCATTATTGCTGTGACCACATGCAGTGTTTTTAAAACAGGTATTGGGAAAATCCTGCAGCTCCAAGGAAAATTAAATTATTCTAAAGCTGTGCTGTTAAAGCTTAGTGCAGAACATTGAAGAATGTCAGGTGCTGCAGACACAGACCTTGATCCAGAATGGTAACACCAATGACTCCTGGTTAGTAACCTCAGGAATTCCATTATACCAGTGGGATACTGGCCTTTCCTGGGAAAGCACTTCCCTGCTTTATGGAATAAATCTAAGCCTCTGAGTAGATACCAGTTCCCATTGAGAGAATAAGACAACACAGATTTTAGGGAAGAAGAAGATTGCCTGCCATTACATGAGCTGCAGAGTAGTTTGGTGTGTGTCATTCATGCATTTGCCTCCAAAGTCTTAGCCTGAAAGAATAGTTGTAATAGAAAGTGCACTGGTCCAACCTAGCTCACACAAGAGCCTGAGCTGTGGCTATTCAAAGTTCTCTTGAAGAGTTAAAGCTTAGGTTTAGAGAAATGTTTGGGCCATAACAGTCACATATTTACAGGTACAGGCAGCACATTTTCATTAGTTACTTAAAGCATTTTTTATGTGACTTAAAAGATGTTATGCTTGGGTTTTTCTTCCCAGATATGTTTACCTCTTTCTTTTTTAATGGTGGATACTCATTTCAAAAAGAAGGCAGCAAGAGGGAGAAATAACCTTTTTAATTTAAATTTACTTCTAAACATCCTTCTGCTGCTTTCAGTATGCATGTGCCCTTTGTACTGTGCTTTTGAAATGTATTTTAAAAAAAAAGCCCAAAATAGAAGACCAGCCTTCTCAAGGTGATGTAAGACATTTAATTTCTTCAGGCTGTCAGCCATAAATGGCAAATCCCATCTGAGGTTGTGAACAGTCAGGAAGGACAGAATTAGAGCTATCTCAGTTGGACCTTTAAATGAAGTAATGATATAGAAGAGAATATAGAAATATCAAGTTGCTGAAAAGAGGAGCAGCCAGGGAGACAGGAACCAGAGCAGAAGGAAAGCAGTGAGAGGAATGAGAATTAATTTACTGGAATGTCTTGAATTTGGGGAACTTGCTATGTATTTTTGGGGTAAGAATCTTAACCAGGGCAGGTCGCTAAAGCCACACTCCTGCAGTGTCCATAAAAGGTGGCTGCCCCCTTTCCTAGGAAGTGCAACAGGAGCCAATAGGTTGTAGAGATCTTGAAGCAATGTCCTGCCTCCTTAATATCTAATTAGTCTAAGAAAATGGGCAGTTTTGGGCCACAGCTGTCCGCTCTCCCCTCATTTTCTAACTATACAGGTTGTAGACATCATCTCTTGCCACTGGAATCTGGCAAATACAACTTTTGTGTCCACTGGAACACATTCAGTCTCCTGTTTGAGGAGAAGAGAATAGGATGGCTACAGGATGAATGTGCAGGCTGCCCAGACTGACTATGCATCCATGTCCTGAATCCTTCTTAAGAAGCTCTCTACAGTACATGGCAAAGAAGTTTAAAAGCTTGTCTACAGACAGAGGACATAGAGAAAAAGCATTGTATTTGTATCATTTCATCTACTTTTATCTCTTCTCTCACCTGAATCACAGAGGCTTGTTTCACTTTTTCTTCTAATGTCACCGCTTAGGTTGCACACAAATATTATAACAATATTATAACATTGTCAGAGTGCCTGGCAGCCAGGTGCTTACCCAGCATTGAGCTCTTTCCGAGGTTCAGATACTCCTTCTCCAGGCACAGGCACACATAAGTTCTAGAAAGAAGGTATTTTACTCTCCAGGTGATTCTGCCCAGGATCTCCCCAGAGAGTGGAGTTTTTTAGCAGCAAAAGGGATCTGAATGGCTTTTGGCTTTTTCATGAAAGAACACATATTGAACACATGATGTCCTGAGTTTGTTGGCTAGTTCAGGTCATTTGAGGCAAACTAATTCTGGAAGCCCATAGGGCAGAAGAAATATTTCAAACATGCTAAGATGGAAGCAAACAACAGCAGGAGAGGGGCTCAGCAGGTTTTCCATAAAGTTGTCCAACACCTGGCCTTCCTTTCTGCAAACAGTGTTGTTCTTTCAACAATTGAATGAGTTTTTGGGTACTATCTGCCCATTGTGACTTTTGTAATAGCTGTCAACTTTTCTTTCCAATCTTTACTACACACTTGAGTAGTCATTTACTCTGGTGGTTATGTTTTCACTTCTCTTCAACACTTTACCTTCAAAAACACCCCTTGGCAGTGGCAAAGTTCCTTTCTGCATTGTATTTTGACTTGAAATATTTAACCTAGTTAGCCTCATTTAACAAAAAAAGGGCTACTCCTTTTAGTCCCATCACCAGCAATTTCACTGCATTGTCTCTCCTAAATTTACATGCCTGCAATGAAGAGATAAAATATTATTAGTCAGTCTAATATACCTTTGCAGTTATAGTTTCTACAGGTAGGCTGTTGTTAAAACAGTCTTCGGGACAAGATCACCTAAACCATTTCCTGGATGTGCCTCTTTCTCTCTGCCATTAATGATGGTTAATGAGATGGTTGTGAGTTTTCAAAACTCACAAAAAAAAAAAAAAAAAACAAAAAAAAAAAAAAAAAAAAAACCCAAAAAAAAAACAAAAAAAAAAAAACCCAAAAAAACTTGTCAAAAAAAATATACTGCAGACACCTACAGTCACTCTGGCAAGTTCCACCCAGCAAGTCCTTTAAACAGCCTTGGTGTGCATTGGGATTAGTCCCCAGAAATCTCTGATCTCCTAGTTCAGTGCCTGAAGAGTTGCTCTTATGAGATGCCCATATTTTTATTACAAAATTGAGCCCTTTGACTGTTCCAGGCAAGTTGTTTCTGAGGTTTTGGTAATCAGGAATTCAGTATGTGCAACCACCCAGGTATTTGTATCTAGATATATAAAACATGAGGGTGCAAGCTCTCATTTCTTTTTTATGAAATGAGCATCTCAGTTAATTTAGAGGCCTCATGGCCCTTATTATATCAGTTGAATACTTTGTGTTACTTATATTAAAACTGTCTAGAAATACAACTGGAAAGCAACTTCAGATGCGTTTTAGCAACACCAAATCACAGAAGAAGAAAGGTCAAGCCACTCTATAGGTGGTCCCTCATTAGAGGCATGATTCAAGTACTCCTTCTTTCAATCATATTTTCTATTGAGTTCAGCAATTTTTAGAGTGAGGCCATAACTGCTGTGTGTATATTGGTAAATTTTCTTCCTGAAAAAGGAATTTATGTAGGAATTACACTAATGGAAATTATTGCTGTGGTCTTTCACTGCAGCATCCTGAGATGAATCATTATAAGGGGCACCACTTGAACTGTTATGTGTTAAATAGATAATGAAGT